TACAGGGGTGAGTTTTTCAACCCCTTGGACGGCCGTGCACGGAGATGTTGTTCTTGAATATTAATTGTGGTATTGTTATCAAGATCTCATGTAAATTTAGTCGTGATACTATGTGCCGTTCTCGAGATAATATACGGGGGTGTTTTTCAACCCCTTGAACGGCTGTGCACGGGGATGTTGCTCTTGAATATTAATTGTGGTATTGTTATCAAGCTCTCACGTAAATTTGATCGTGATACTATGTGCCGTTCTCGAGATAATATACGGGGGTGAGTTTTTCAACCCCTTGAACGTCCGTGCACGGGGATGTTGTTCTTGAATATTAATTGTGGTATTGTTATCAAGCTCTCATGTAAATTTGATCGTGATACTATGTGCCGTTCTCGAAATAATATACAGGGGTGAGTTTTTCAACCCCTTGGACGGCCGTGCACGGAGATGTTGTTCTTGAATATTAATTGTGGTATTGTTATCAAGATCTCATGTAAATTTAGTCGTGATACTATGTGCCGTTCTCGAGATAATATACGGGGGTGTTTTTCAACCACTTGAACGGCCGTGCACGGGGATGTTGTTCTTGAATATTAATTGTGGTATTGTTATCAAGATATCATGTAAATTTAGTCGTGATACTATGTGCCGTTCTCGAGATAATATACGGGGGTGTTTTTCAACCCCTTGAACGGCTGTGCACGGGGATGTTGCTCTTGAATATTAATTGTGGTATTGTTATCAAGCTCTCACGTAAATTTGATCGTGATACTATGTGCCGTTCTCGAGATAATATACGGGGGTGAGTTTTTCAACCCCTTGGACGGCCGTGCATGGGGATGTTTTTCTTGAATATTAATTGTGTTATTGTTATCAAGCTCTCACGTAAATTTGGTCGTGATACTATGTGCCGTTCTCGAGATAATATACGGGGGTGAGTTATTCAACCCCTTGGACGGCCGTGCACGGGGATCTTTTTCTTGAATATTAATTGTGGAATTGTTATGAAGCTCTCACGTAAATTTGGTCGTGATACTATGTGCCGTTCTCGAGATAATATACGGGGGTGAGTTTTTCAACCCCTTCGACGGCCGTGCATGGGGATGTTTTTCTTGAATATTAATTGTGTTATTGTTATCAAGCTCTCACGTAAATTTGGTCGTGATACTATGTGCCGTTCTCGAGATAATATACGGGGGTGAGTTTTTCAACCCCTTGA